AGTCAAGCTGTGGAGTGAATTGAAGAACCCGGCACATTACCAACCCAACTCTTGAGTCATGACTTTTGAACCAATATTTGGTCACAATAAGCCAATTTACGAACCTACAGCTTTTACCCAGCAGTTGAGTTAGGAATATAACCCAGCATTTTTAAGAGTGCATAAATACTCCCAATAGAGCTCTCAGGTCAGCTGATAAGGTGCTTCTAGTTGTCCCTAGAAGCACCTTAAAAAACAGGAGACCAGGTATTTGCGATTGCTGCGCCCAAACTTTGGAACAGTCTGCCTCTTCAAATGAGGATCTCTCCAACACTCAACATTTTAAAAGCCTGTCTGAAAACACATTTTTACTCTTTAGCTTTTAATTGTGACTGAGTTTTTATTTTGTTATATTCATTGTGTGTGTTTGTTCTACTTTTTTCTTTTTTACTATGCACAGCACTTTTGTCAGCCTGTGTTGTTTTTAAATGTCCTTATAATTGATTGATTGATTGATTAAACCTAACCCTGACCTGTCTCCCCAATGTGACGTTTGTGTAATGTATGTATGGATGGAAGTGGTCCAGTTTCACTGAAGGCAACTGCAAGCAAGAAATAAAAGCTCATTCATTCACCTGCAACCCTAGATTGCTCAGGGTGGCAGAGCAATAGAAACAAAGAGAAAGAAAAAAAATGTTTATCTCATTGGACCTCATATTGAGAGCGCCAGAGAACAAATGCAAGTTCAAGACTTTGATTGAAGTCCAGTTGTTGTATCTGCTTCATGTTTCCTGGAGTAACAAGGGAACAGGTGTCAAAACCATTTAACGGAATGAGGGAAACAAGGGATTAGACTCTCAACGTGACCCTTCGGATGCGGTATGGTGGTTGATTCTTATCTAGCTGGGAAACTGACAATCACTGTTACATGAGATTTTAGACTTCGTGAGGTATCTGCAAGAACTGGTAGGTATATTTTAGTTTTGCTTATTTATTTAGACATAGTTCACTCAATTGTAGGAGGGGTGTTGACAGTGTAATAATAGGTCTTGATCGGTCATTGCATACTGCTGCTTGTTGTCCATTTATTCCTGAATAATACATTTTTACAATTTATCAGATTAAAGGGTTTAACTACCAAACAAATAACATTGTTTATTGTTTTACATTGTGTTCAATTGTAGTCAATAAAATATGAGTTATTTATAGCAGGTGAAACTGTTCAAAGTACACCAATTTTATTGATCATAAACAGATTAAGGGACATTAAACTTCCAGAAACATCCAGCATATAAACCAAAACAACCATTAGATTGGTTGAGTGTGGTGAGTAAAGCATGCATTTCTGAGCAAATAAAATATTTCCTGTATCATTTTGTTACCATAGTTTGATGTATAAATGATGAAGTCTGATAAAAAAAAAAATCTCTCTTCAAAATCATAATAAAAGATATTTAATGATATCCAAAGGTATTCAGCTTACTAAAAACAAACCAATAAAACTCCAGTGTATTGCTACATTTAATTAATTTAAGACTGATTAAGAATGCTGAATAGGAGTATAAGTATATTTTAAACTTATAATTCTAGATCATAATACAAAATTAAGGTTTATACTTATGCAAGAAAGGTAGCTACATGTTTATTTACAGCACTACAATTTTTAGACACTAACTTTCAAAAAGTTCTAACATAAACCTACCCACTCTGTCTATTTCAATTTAATGAACTCTGCCGTGTCTCCTCGCTCAAAAAGCATAAGTCCAGCATAGAGCGGCTGAGTGAATGTGGTCTGGACTCTGTGGAGGAGAGTCATGGTTTCAGAGACGCTGTAGAAAGACAGAATACCTGCTCTGTTATCCAAGTACACTCCTAATGTGGAAGCCTCAGGACCTGAGAGCTCAGTTTGGACTTTGTTGTAGAAAAATTTATAACTCTTGCTATCACAACTTAATGCCCAAGATTTGTCATTTAACCCAAATACACAATCATTTAGCCTCCCTGCTCTGCTGATATTCTTGTATGAAACTGCTACATAAACTTTTCCTTTCCACTTCACCTCCCAGTAACAACGTCTAGTCAGACTCTCTTTACTCAGGACCTGCCAACAAGGAAGAAATCTGTCTGGATGATCAGAATAAGACTGTTGTTGCTCCTTAAATGTTGCTTTTCTGTTCCTCTCAGACAATAACAGATGTGTGTTTGCTGTATTTGGATCCAGTGTGATTTCACATGAATATTTTAAGAATTCAGCTCTGGTCTTTGGCTCTGGTTGTGGTGGTGACAATAAAACATCCACCATAGTCACCACCCGTGAGATTTTTGTCCATTCCTCTCTCAGAATGTCCTGTAGTTTATCTCTGGTCTCTGACACAGCTGCTGTCACATCCTCAAAGTACCTCAGAGGACGAATATTGATGCTGGATGAGTGTGTAGACTCACTGAGTGCTGACAGTGAGGGGTAGTTGTGTAGAAACTGGTTGTGATCCTCTGTGTGTGAGAGCTGCTCCAGCTCGCCGTCTTTCCTCTTCAGCTCAGCGATCTCCTGCTCCAGCTTCTCCTGAAGCTCTTTGACTCGACTCACTTGAGTTTCCTGCTGGGATCTGACCTGCTGCTTCACATCAGAGCTTCTTTTCTTGATGAGACGGATCAGCTCAGTGAACATCTTCTCACTGTCCTCCACCGCTTTATCAGCAGAGCCATTGATGGCCTCCACCTCCTGTTGAAGCAGCTTCACATCTTTCTCTCGCTCCTGGATTCTCTGCTGGATGTTTAGTCGTCTCACCTCGAGCTCCTTCTGCTTCTCAGTCCTTTCTGCTGCAGCTGGGACTGTTTCATGGCCTTTATGTTCATCCATCAAGCAGAGATAACAGATACTCTGCTGATCAGTACGACAGAAAATCTTCATCACCTCATCATGACGAGAGCAGATGTTCTCCTGGAGCTTCTTGGAGGGGGCCACCAGCTTGTGTTTCTTTAATGGAGCTGCATCATAGTGAGGTTGGAGGTGTTTCTCACAGTAAGAGGCTGGACAAGATAAACAGGACTTGATGGCTTTCAGCTTCCTCCCAGTGCAGACATCACAGGCCACATCTTCAGGTCCAGCATAGCAGTGATCAGCTGGAGCAGCTTGGAGTCCAGTCTTCTTCAGCTGCTCCACTAAAGCTGCTAACATGGTGTTTTTCTCCAGGACAGGCTTTGGAATGAAAGCTTTCCTGCACTGAGGGCAGCTGTGGATTCCCTTCCTGTCCTCTTCATCCCAGAAACTTTTAATACAGTTCCTGCAGTAGTTGTGTCCACAGGGAATAGTTACTGGATCCTTTAGTAGATCCAAACAAAGTGAACAAGATAATCTTTTTGAATCCTGCTGATTTCCTCTCTGTGCCATTTCACCTCTCAGCAACAATGATTGGCTGTAGAATAGAGCGGATACCCAGCTGTGTGCAGGGAAAAGCACAGTTTGAACTTTGGAAGCAGCTTGTCCCTCTTATAAACTTTATAATCTGTACTTTGAAAGTTTGAAGCCATAAAAGTTTAACATGTAATCATACAGGATCACAGGAGCATAAATCGCTTTGTATGAACTTTGAGTAGAGTTTTTTTGTCCATGCATTGTCTTTACAATTAGATGTGCTTTATTTAGGTCAAAATAAAATTGCTGTGTTTGTGTTGCAGCCAAAGTATGACAAACAACATAGCTCAATGAAAAAAATACAACACTTGTCATGGCTCTGTAGGGCCTTGTACCCGTCCCCTCTCCTTTTGCTTTCCTTGTTCTTGGTCCCTTGCATTTGAATTTGAATTTCTCTCCAGGTCTCAGGTGTTCGTGTGACTGGGGTTTCCAGCAGGCACGGTCAGGAGCTGCAGTTTTATTACGTCTGAGTGTCCTCACCTCATTTTTTAAGGTACTTGTGGACAGGCTTTTTTTCTCCTTTCATCACCAAATTCTTTAGTTGGCTATGAGTATTAATATCTAAGTCTAAATGTCTAGTATGTATTTGTGTGTGATTGCCTTGTATTTTGGAGAAAGTCCTCAGTGTGCTGAACTCCACTTGCCCTATTATCTGGAATTTCATCTCATGGATTTACTGCTGTTTGAACTTTTCTCCTCAAGCTTCAGCTTATTTTATACTCATAGGAAAGTTTAATTGTCTCTGTCTTACAGGTGTGTCTGTCTCCTGTTAGCTTACCTAGCTCAAGTCATTTTTAAGAGTCCAGCAGCTTTTTTTCTGGTGATTTGCGTATGTGGATAAACTGCTGGTCTTTCGTGATAAACTAGTGGGAGAGTAGCATACTTGGAAATCTGCTGCTGGCTCAGCTTTCAGTTCTCTGAGATCAGTTATGATCTGTGTTTCGACTGAAAGCACAGCTAGCATTAGCAAGTTAACGAACTTTATTGATTTAACATCGTAACAGATGAGTTTCCTCTTCCTGACCACTTTGAACACCTTGTGTGATGTAGAGAAGATGGGAAAAAAGTTGTTGTGAAAAAGTTGTTAATAACGTCTTTAGTACATGAGCAAAGAAAGCTGTCACCATGATGGTGAGGATACGGCAGCCTATTTTTTATTCCCCCTGAATATATTGTAGCGGGTCAGGGCTGTTTGGGGTTTTGTTTTGACAGCTATGTTCTGTTGTTATGTTGCCATGGTTACAGGTGACGCTTTCTCTCTGCGACTGTGTTTTTCTGGGTGGAGAGAGCGCCATTTTGCATTGTTGTTGTTGTTACGCTAGAGCTGCGCCGAGTGGTGGTGTTAGTGTTGTGTGTTCATCCGTTGAATGCTAATAAAGGGCTGTGCTCCCTGGCTAGCTTGTGGGAAGCAATACCAAACAATACCTCTGTCTCCTCCTTGTCTGAGCTCGCCACATTGGTGTCAGAAGTGGGATAGCTCACCCTCGCCGGAATGGAGAGAGACACTCAGAGGCTGGAGCAAACTGTCGAGGAGAGCATTCCCTGCTTGGAAAGTGGGTGATCGAAGAGAGAGCAAGCAAGCGGCCATGTAAGTCCCCCGATGGGTCCCGATGGGTCCCGATGGGTCCCGACGGCGCGAGCGCACTGCGGCAGCGG